CACTGTGCCACCAGGGCTCCTAGAAATCAACCACTTAAGCCTGAAAGACACAATCGGGGAGCTGTTCATCATCCCCTTTTAACTATAAATATCGCTGCCTGTCAACTGGTGCCTTCAACGCTGCCAGCCAGATGCACTGTCTCGCAGCATGTGTCCCTGCCTTTGTCCCCACAGGGGATGGTGCAAGTGTCAGGGCAGCTGGAGACTGGCTCTGCCTTTACTGACAGTCTTCTCTTGTTGTTGTTGTTGTGCGATGCCATCAAGTCGGTTTTGGCCCACGACAACCCCGTGTACAAAAGAATAAAACATGCCCGGTTCTGTGCCAGCCTCGCAACGGTCTCTCTGTCTGAGCCAGTGATGCAGCCACCGTGTCAACCCAGCTTGTCGACGGAGCAGTGGGGGTGGGAGGCACAGGGAGGAGGTGGGTGAGTGATGTTGCCTTGAAGGGGCTGCGCTGAACGAGATGAAACAAGACGTACATGAATTATTGCCTGTGAAACTGATGCTCTGCTCTATAGACCTTCAGCCAGTCACAATAAAAAGTTAAATAATAATAATCAATCGCTGTCTGGAAGTGGAGGGGGACTGAGTGCTGGCCCATCTGCTCCCGTGAAGAGCCCCTGTCTCAGAAACTAACCTGGCTGCTGTTGTGACAGTCCAAGAGGTCGTTACTGATGTAGGCTTGCAGGACGGTCTCTCTCTGCTCTCCGGGATGGGACGTGGTCAAGCGCTGGCATGGAGAAAAACGGGAGATCCGAGTCTTAACATGGAGAAAACGAACCCCCATGCCTAACAATGCTTTAAAGGCAGTGCCTGAAACCACACATTAAACCAAACCAGGTAAAAATTATCCCTGGGCTAGCTTACCAGACAACCAACCTGTCAAGAAGAAATGACCAGGCTGCACTTTCTAATGGTGGCACAGGCCACGCTGGAGTCCCCTGCCACACGCGAAACCTCCAGAGACGTGAAGTGGCAAAGCAGGGCTGCTGCCAGCCCGTCCAGCTAATACACTGAGGCCAGACCTGGGCGCTGGGCTGGGCT